AGGGGACTGACTGGGTCAAATGGTATTTCTATTTCCATCTTTTGAGAAAGTGCCATACTGCCTTCCAGAGTGGTTGCATCATTTTACACTCCCAGGAACAGTGAATAAGGGTTCCAGTTTCTCTACAATTTGCCAGCATTTGTTGTTTGCTGTTTTTGTTGAATTTTTTTTTTTGTTCTTAGTGGGGAGAGATGATATCTTATAGTTCTTTTGATTTGCATCTCTCTTAGAGCATTTTGAACATCTCTTCCTGTGTTTGTTCACCATCTGAATGTCTTCTTTGGTGAAGTGCAGTGTACTCTTTAAGGGAAATCCTGACAGATAAATATTCTAGAAGTAAAATTACAACTTGGTTAGAAAAATCAGAGAAACATTTGCTAAAATTGATAAGAATCAAATGAGACATGACTTTTCTTTCACAGATGATTATTTATTTTTGCCTTTTGTTTCTTTCCATAGATGAATGCAAGGAAGTGAGCGTGAAAAATGAGACGATTTCAGTAGACCAGCCTTATGCTTTTAATTGCACACACCCTCCACAGACACTTGAGGAAGTAAATATAACATGGTATAAAAATCCTAGCAAAACCCCAATATCCAGAAGCATACAGTCTAGAATTCGTCAGGACCAGAGTTGGATCTTGTTTCTCCCCCTGACTTCTGAGGATTCAGGGATCTATCAGTGTGTCATAAAGTAAGTTCTTCCTTGAAAATAGATCTTTCCTCAGCCTTCTCTCTCTCTCTCTCTCTGTCTGTGTGTGTGTGTGAATGTACTTAGCATCCGTTTACAAAGATGTGTAAGCTTTTTAAGCCATTTGAATTGAATATATTATGTCCTTTTATTCCTTAACATTTAATGTTTATTCGCATCAACAAGAATATCCTTTCACATAAATCACAGTAGTTACCTAATTTGTGACCACTGGTAACATGATCGGTTAAGTGTGACTTGACCCACCAGTCACTCAATGAACAAAAATGTGAGGCAGTTTCCTCTCATTAAGATTTTTATACCCTTGTAAAAATAATGGAGGGTGAACACGAGCTAAAATCAACTCAATGACAACGAATTTAGTTTTATACTTTTACCTAAAGCCCACATCCTAATTTTTGATAGTTATCTTTATAACTTTTTTTCTTTTCTATAGAAGCAGGAGCGGCATCCACTTCCTAAACAACATGTCTTTGGAAACGATGAACTTTGATAAATGTCGATAGTTATAGAGGAGCTTCAGGCCTTTTGTTCATAGGGTCGCTATGGGTCATGCTCCACTCAAAGGCAATCAACAACAACAGCATAGAAGATCCAATGCAAGAGCATGCATTGCATCTAGTCCCTTTCTCTTCATCTATGCAGTTCCTTAGTATCTTACTGTTATCTTGCTATATTTCCTTCTGTTTGGATTCATTATTAGGTTCATAATGTATAGTTTTGGATAGCATATTATGCAAGTGATTTGTGTAAAAGTTTTAAGAGTAAGCCTCATCGATTTTCATCTATTCATCTTATTTTTTTTTTGCATTTTAAAGACCACGCTGAACAAATTATCATTACTAAATTTCCCTTTCCCTTTATTCACTTCCTCTTACACTATATTCACTTACACTTTATTTACATACTTCTTGTTGTTGTTGTGTATCATGGAGTCAGAACAGACCCATAGCTGACCCTCTGGTGGGTTTTCAGAGGCAGTTAATCACATGAGAGGAGATTGCCCATCCTTCTCCCACATAGCAGCTGGTGGACTTGAACTGCATGCCTTCAGGACTGCAGTGCAGCTTCTTGACAGTAGGCCACTGCTGCTATTGTTCTGTGCTGCTGAGTTGCTTGCTCATGTATAATAGCCCTGAAACCTGCTGTATCCTGTGCCAACTTTACTGTCTCTGACACACCTACTTTTATTACCCTTGTCACTGAAATAATCCATCTCATTTATCGTCTTCCTCCTTCCCTGTCCCTTCACCCTTTCAAGCATGATGTCTTTCTCTAAAGACTGGTACCTCCTTGTAACATGCCCAAAGTATGTCAGACGAAGTCTCAGAATTGTTGCATCCAAGGAGCAGCCTGGTTTCACCCCCTCTAGGATGAATCTGTTCTCCTGGCCGTCCATAGTATATTTAACACTCTTTTCAATCACCACAGCTCTTTCTGTCATACTTAATCATTGTCCAGCTTTTTGATGCATAGCAAGCAATTGCAAAAACTATGGCCTGGATCAGGTGCACCTTAGTTTCAAGATTAATGTTGTTGCTTTTCAGTACTCTGGACAGGTGACTTTCTCAATGCGGTTCATCTTTTGATTTCCTGGCTCCTAATACCAAGAGTATTGATTTTCGAGTCAAGCAAAGTAAAGCTATTAACATTTTCAATCTCTTTACCATCTATCATAATGCTGCCAGTTGGCCCAGTGGTGAGAATCTTCATTTTCTTTGTTGATCTTCAAACCATATTTAAGGCTGCAGTCTTTGACAACTACTTTTAATTTTTAACCAATATTTCTGGAAAAAGAAAAAGAAAAAAACCAACCCCAGACTTTCTACTTGAAGAACAAATTACTTCCTTCTCCTTCTAAAAAGTACTCCTCTTAATCTCCTACAAATTTATTTACACACACTTTCTTATTCCTTCTACAACTGTTTAATAAGTTCTGACAAATTATTATGCTTTCTACAATTGTTTAGCTAGTTCTGACATTCACTTGACAAAGGTTTCCCTTGCCTCTTATAGATGAAGCAAGGGTGCAGCTTGGGATTAGGTAAGACAGTTTTCACTTATACAAGTGTTAGAAATTCTACCAACATTCTTGGTTCCTGACATTTCTGGGGATTTACGGTTTATGTTTCCCCTTGTAGGTGGGTGATTAGAGCATCTGCATAATCTGCTAGCAGAGTAGTATCTTCTATTGTTAATATTATGGCATCAGTACAATGAAACTGATAGCAGAAAATCAAGGGTTTTGTTTTTATCAACCACACTTTGGCAAATGATGAGGATATGCAGATGTTTCTGGCACAGTTCCCCAAGAATAGCCCATTGCTTTTTTTATTTATTAATTTTTCTTTTTCCCCTCATTTCTTAATTTTCAAGGTGAAAGTAAACTGATTTTGAATTACAAAGCCTTCTCCTTTTTTGACACTTTTAGTATTAACAACTGCTATTGTTTTTGGCATTCTTTGACACAGAGGTGTCTCCTATATTTGGAGTGACTTGTCGCTAAATTTTTAAGTTTCTTGAGAATTTCTTTTTCTCCTTTAAAACAAAAAAAGAAAAGAAGAATAATGCTGGCTCTTAATGCAGCAAACAAGCTTTGTCTGTGTCACATCTGCTGTTGAACACTTAGGCACGTAAACAAGAGGTTGCATGATAGAGATTTTTTTAATTCTGAAAAAAAAACCCACAAACCTTCAAGGAGAAAGTTTTGGTTTTAAAGTTATTCCTTTTCTTATGTTTACACTTTTAATTTTACACTTTTAGTAGGGGAAAGACCTCAAAAGACAAAGGTAAAACTGAGAAAACTTTCCATTAAGCAAGAATTTGATCACATTACTTCTCACATCAACAGCAACTTGGAATTCGGTTGGTAGGATGTGGGATGCTGATTCCTGTCTGTGGGAACAGTACAGTTAGTTCTCTGGACCTCATCAGCTGGACTCTGCTAGCTTTTTTGTTATTACTAGTGTAGAAGTCTAGTGGTGCAGCTCTTCTTGAAGGAGGTCAACAGCATGCCCTGCTTTAGAAGGATCTGGACAATTTACTTTTTGCTGGCCTAGCCATTCCTGTTATTGCTGACCAGCTTTGGCCTTTTAGGAAGCCCATGGCAGTAATGATCCCTAGTATTGATTTTGAATCTTGGAGTTGTTGTGAATAAAATAGATATTCCCACCAAGGAATGTTACAAACAACATGCTTCACTTTAGACTTCTTAAAGAGAGGTATTTGAGCCCTTTAGATCCTGCTGAACTAAGCCAATTTGTAGCGTTAAGGAGTTATTTATATAGGTGACCACTTCATTTAGCAGGGTTGGATCTAAAAAGTTAATAATATGCCCCATGCCCTCCCCCTGCAAAGATAGTAAGATGGTTTCTTTGCAGTAGCAAAGGAGAAAATAACTAGGGATTTCAGACTGGAATTTCAGAGGGAGGCAGTCACCATTTAGGAATCAGAAATGAAGTGGCAGCATGAGATAGCAAGAAGTGGCCCAATGAGGCAGAATCCATAAAAATCCCCTTATGAATTATGTCTACAAGCATAGATCCTTGATGACACTATATCTTACTGAGATGAAGTAATGTTCTCTTGCACTATCTCTCAATGAGATGATGTGGTCCAGACCTTTTCACTTTTCAGTCTTCATGGTTCTGATTGCTTTTCTTTGCCTATCATGGTGGGGTCACCATATGTTGTACTTTTCTGACCAGCAGTAAAGTGCTGTGATCTGAGTGAACTAAGACTTTCCTTAGTCAAATGGAAAGGGAGAGAAACTCAGATTAAGTGTTTTTATGGCCTGTAGACCTCATAGCTTTCATTGAGAAGCTTTCATTACGTAAGCAGTAAAATATGTTAGCTGCACTCCAAGATGTTTTTCACCGTTGCTTTTTTTCATTTGCTGACCTTTCCTGTTTCCATAACTACATCTTTATTAAAAAGCAGGTTCAGCATGAGAATCGAGGTCTTGAGTATCCCTGTGTTATCTTAACCCCTACACATAGTGGTTTGAAAATTACCTGGAAATATTTGAAGATGAACTGAATCATTTTATTTTATTATTGGTTAAACCTTGATGAGGATTTAAACTGTTATTTTCTTACAGGAATATAAACAGCTGTCACAGAATATACGTAAATTTAGCTGCTTTTAGAAAATCTTGGTGTGGTGATCCCCAAGAGGTTCTACCAAGTTTATCAGATGAGTATATACAAACCCTACATTTTGGGAAAGATGACATCCTTACCTGCCATTTGAACTTCCCAAAGAGCTGTGTTTTGGATTTAATAAAGTGGTATAAGGTAAAACATAGTTTTTTTTACTGATAGTTTTCCTTCTCATCTTTGAATTTTATTCCTTTCTTCCATTACAGTTGTATATTTTAAGGAGAGAATGATAGAGATTTGTGCTCCTGTTAGCTAATAGATTTTTATAATTTTACACTATTGTTTATTTATCTATTATTTATCGTTTATTGTAGTTTTATAATATTTAATGTTTGAATCTACCTCTTTCTCTCAATTACCATTTTTTCCCTAGGTCATTTTTAAAGTGTCTGTTTTTCTAAGTAGTTACATAATTGTTTGAATGACTATTAAATGCACATGTGTTAAAAATCACAAGTATAAAGAAATGACTTGGTGAAAAGTCTTCTGTGATTTACAGCTTTGGAAACCCTGCGGCGAAGTTCCACTCTGCTCTGTTGGGATGCTCAAAATGAGTTATAATGGACTTGGCTTTGGGATACTCACCTTTCTGCACCTTGGCTTTTGTACCTGAAAACATTATCTTTTCTTGAATGTATTGATGCATGTTGAAATAGAAGTCATAGTACTCAGGATCCAGGATATATCAGAAAAACAAAACCAAATGGGAATTGCAGAACAGTTAATTGTGCTTACAGAAAAACTATACCTAGACCAAGAAGTGCTGTCCCAACAGAGCAAGGGAATACTGCATGACTTAAAATGAAGAAAATATGTATGTCAAGTCTGTATCTTTTTTTCATACCTATTTAATCTGTATGCTGAGCAAATAATTTGAGATGCTGGACTTTATGGAGAAGAATGTGGGAGCAGGATGGAGGAAGATTCATCACCAACCTGGGTTATGCAGATAACACAACCTGACTTAATGAAGGCTAGGAGGACTTGAGGTGCTTACTTTAGAAAATCAAGGACTGCAGCCTTCAGTATTGATTAAATCTCACCATTAAGAAAACAAAAATCCTTGCCACTGAGCCAACAGGCAACATAGATGGAAAAAAGATTGAATTTGTCAACAATTTCATCTTACTTGGAGTCGTAATCAACACTCTTGGTATCAGCAGTCAGGAAATCAGGAGATGTATAATATTAGGAAAGTCTGCTTTTAGGGATCTCTCCAAAATCCTGAAAAGCAATGATGTCAGTTTAAAGACTAAGGTGAACCTGATTAAAGCCATGGTTTTTCCAGTCACCTGCTGTGCATCTGAGAACTGGATAATAAATAGGGATGACAGGAGAAGAATCATGGTCTTTGAGTTTTGAGTTAGAGAAGATCACTTAATACTCCATGAATTTCTAAAAGATAAACAGATATAAAGATAAAGGGTACAGAGCTGACTAGTTGAAAGAGGAATGGTTAAAGTGATGGCCATATGAGTCCAGGTTAGATATCAAGGGAAATAATGTTTGAAGGAAACTTGAAACTGGGAGAAAGTAGAGAAATCAATGGCTGATGTTACTATTCTTTCCAATCCTCTAGTGGGCCTGTCAGACTTTCCTGTTATAGGTCATGTGAATCAGGATTGACTCATAGCTGATTCTCTAGCATGTTTGTAGAGGTTGTAAATTGCTTGGGAGAAGATTGCCCATCTTTCTCCTATGGAGCAGCTGGTGGATTTGAACCACTTGTTTTTTGTCTGACAACACAACTTCTTCCCACTAAGCCATCAGAGATCCCTTCTCTAAACTAATGTTGTTAGGTGCTGTCAAGCTGAATATGACTTATCATGTCTCTGTGAATAACAGATGTGAAACCTCCCTATCCTGTGCCATCTTCATCATCTCTGACACACTTGAGCCCATTTCTGCAGTCTCTTTGTCAACCCATTTTGCTGAAGGTCTTTCTCTTTTTTGCTGACCTTCTACCTTTCCAAGTATTTTTTCCTGCTCCAAGGAATAACTTCTCTTAGCAAAATTCCCAAAATATGTGAGTTGAAGTTTTGTTATCCTTACCTCCAAGGAGGATGCTGATTGCACTTTCTCCAAGACATATATATCTGCTTATTCTTTTGGCAGTCCATGGGACATTCTTCTGCAAAAGCAAAACTCAAAGATATCAATTCTTCTTTTGTCATCCTATTCACTATCCAGAATTCAGACACATAGCAAATGATTGAAAAGACAAGGGTCTGAGTCAGGCACACCTTAGTCTGCATATAGACATCATTGTTCCTCAGTTATTTGAAGAAATCCTTGACAGCAGACTTGCCTAGTGCAATATGTCTCTTAATCTCCTGACTGATATTACCAACATTTGATTGTGGATCTAAGTCAGATGAAATTGTGGACAACTTCAATTTTATCTATCGTGATGTTCCATATCCATCCAGTAGTGAAGGACTTTTTGACTCTTAATATGGAAATGAAATCAGTATTGATAGCTATAATCTTGAAAATTCTGCTGCAAGCATTTCAAGTCCTCCTTACTTTTGGCAAGCAAGATTGTGTAGTGCACAACGGAGGTTGTTGATGAGTCTTCATTTGTTCCTGATCCCACATTCTTCTTCATAGAATGCTGCTTCTAGAATGATTTGCTTAGCATGCAGATTGAAACTATAGAGGCTATAAAAAGAACTCAAACTCATTGCCATTAAGACAACTTCAACTCATAACATCCCTCCATTGGTTCCTTGATGGTATAAATATTTAAGGAATGACACTTCCCATCTTACTCTCTGAGTGACTGGTGGATTGAAACAGCTGACCTGTACGTGAACAGCCTGGTATGTTACAAGTTATAATACAAGAGCTCCTACAGACACTGCTATTGTTGTTGTGTATCATCGAATCTAAACTGACCCATAGCTGACCCTCCAGCAGGTTTTCAGAGGCAGTTAATCATACATGAGGAGATTGCCCATCCTTCTTCCATGGAGCGGCTAGTGGCCTCGAACCATGTGCCTTCAGGATTGCAGTGCAGCTTCTTAATGCTAGACCCACAGAAATTAGAAAGCTAAAAAACAACAAAACACATACACAAACCAACCAAAAACAAAGCCAAAAACAAAATTCCAACAACAAACCAAAACTACAATCACACCTTAGGAGATTTACTAATTCTTTGTCGGCCTCACAGATTTCTCTTTCTCTATAGCAGAAGGTCAGCTAAAAAGAGAAAGGCTCTTACCTATTATACATAATCATTACAAAGTCAGTTGACTCATTAACACTTAACAACAGCAGCAACATATTTGAATCTAAGATATAGAGGTCCCCAGTGGTTCTAGCCAAGGGAGCTCTGGTGACTTTAGTGAGTAAGGAGCTGCCCTGCCAACCCAGTGGCAGGTGGTTCAAATCCACCAGCTGCTCCAGGCAAGAAAGATCTGCAAGCTCCTCTCCTGTCTCTCTGAATCTTCACAAATATTTCTCTAACAATTGAGCGTACAGTCAATTTAAATATCCTTATTCTTAAAACTCATCAAATACAGTATATTTAAAGTACTTTTTTCCTTGCCCTAAATCTGTTTTTCATGCACTCATTTCTCTGTCATCTAACAATACCCTTTTATAAGCTAGAAACAAATTCCTCTCTCTCTCATTATCCCCAAATTTGTCACTAAACCCTGTGAACTAGAACTGTGGCTGTTCCATTCTTGTTAGCTGCCTTAGATGTTCTCATATAAGCTTTTATTTAGGTGTGTTGTGTAGCGTTGAATTGGAACTGACCCATAGCTCATCCTCTGGTAGATTTTCAGAGGCAGTTAACTGCAAGAGAGATTGCCCATCATTCTCCCACGGAGCAGCTGGTGGATTCGAACCAGATGCCTTTGTGATTACAGCTCATCTTCTAGCCACTAGGCCACCAGAACATGAAATATTTTCTCAAGTGGTTTCCTGGTCTTTAGGATGATCTTGCCTTTGATCAGTTTCTACATAATTATTCTAGGGATTTTTAAAATATGTATATATGATCACCTTTTACTCACTTGCTCAAAAAGCATTCATTTCATGATTTTCTATGGCTTTATCAGCTTTATTTTCATCATTCTCATATACATGGTATGTTTCAGACTGCTCTAAGGAAGTATGTGCCTCAGGCCATGGCACACACTGAGTCAGAAATGTGTAGTGTTTTTTTGGTGTTACTAATACGAATAAAAGAAAAATACAAATGTTGGCTGACCTTATAAGTATTTTACTATTAAATTCTGTCATTAAGACATAACCCAAGAATTTTTAAATAAAGATCAAGGCATGCTGAGAGCTTTGACTATAAAATAATGCCCCAGTGGATCAAAGTACGGGCAGTCCAGGTGGCTGTAAAGGGACAAAATGGTCTGTCTGTACCTTATTTAGATTTATCTTAATAACATTGAATATATGTAAGTCACCACTAGGCCAATTGAAAGCACCAAGTTAGATGGAGAAGAGATTGAGATTGTTAACAATTTCAGCTTGCTCCAGTCCACAATTAACACTCTTGGACCCAGCAGCCAAGAGATCAAAAGATAAATTGGATTAGGAAAGTCTGCTGTGAGGGACCTCTCCAAAGTGCTGAATTGCAAAGCCTAGAGACTAAGTAAGGTGTGCCTGATCCAGGATATAGTCTTCACAATTACTTGTTATGCATCAAAGAGTCTGACAATGATAAGGATAGCAGAATTGATGCTCTGAGTTGTGGTGCTGGAGAAGAATACTGAACATACCATGAACTACCAAGAGAACAAACAGGTCTTTCCCAGAGAGGGTGAAACCAAGTTCCTCTCTGGAGGCAAGGATTTTGGTGCTCCATCTCACATACTTTGGGCATGTTGCCAGGAGGGACCAGTCCTTAGAGAAGGACTTCATGATTAGAAGGGTGGAGGGACAATATAGGAGAAAATGATCTTGGATGAGATGGATTGACACAGTGACTGGTGCAGGTGTGATGAAGATACTGAGATTAAATCAGGATAGGACATGGTTCACAGCTATTGTACATAGGATTGCTATAAATTGCAGATGACTTGATGACACATAACAACAACAACAAAGAATGTATGAATCAGAGGGGGGTGTTTTCAATAAAGAAAGCATAGAAAGGGAGACCTAGATATTGTGTCTATGTAGGTATTATAAAAGGAACAGGTTTCTGGTGTTAAAAAAACCTCACTAAACACAAGTTTGTTTTACCCCTACTCTCATAGTATGTTGTCAGAGTTTTATATCTTCTACCATTGACTTATTACCAAGAGCCATTTTATTTGGTAAGCAATTATGCAATTATAGTACAGTTTCCCCAGTGAGACACTAACAGGGAGAAAAGACAAGGCTTCTAGAAAGTCATAGTTGATGTTGTAAATCAACTCAATGTTCATTCTGGCTTTATTGAGTTTCACCCTGCAAGATGGACCCATTCACATTGTTTCAACAATGGAGAATTAAATCTTAAGTCCAATGAACCATAATTGACTCAGTGATGAGTGAGGCAAACATTTGGGCAATTAAATCTGTTTAATTAGGAGTTTACATGCTTATCTATTAGATTATAAACTTCCTGAGACCTAGATCGTATCTTGTTTCTGCCTGACAATAGGCTTTAATAGTTCTAGCAAAGAACAGGAATTGAATGTTTGAATGAATAAGCCAAACTAGTTGTCATCAAGACAGAGCGAGCAAACTTGTCTTGGAAGGAGAGGAGTAGAGTGATCCTTAGAAGCGAGGATGGTGAGACCTAGCTGCACATACTTAGGGTGTGTTGTCAGGCGGGAGCAGTCACTGGAGAAGGATAGCATGCTTAGAACAACAGGTCAGAGGAAAAGAGGAAGACCTTGAATGAGATGGATGGATGTAGTGACTGTTAAATGGACTTACGCACAGCATGGCACAGTATTGGGCCAGGGTTCACTTTGTTGTATACAGCATTGCTAGCAGTAGGGGTCAACCTGTCAACACCTAATAAAGATTTCCATAGAGCTGATCCCGAATAATGAGAAAGAGTCCATATGTGGAGTACTAATACTCTATAGGGTTTTCATGATTGACTTCTGAGGGGCTGATCAGAGGCCTTTGTTCCGAGGCACTGGGAGGATATGAAGTGCTCTTCTTTCAGTTAGTTGCCACATGCACTCAATTAGCTAAACAGTCACTCTATGAAATGAGACTTCCTCAAGGGAGGAGACAAACTGAGAAAAGGTTGAGTCTGAGATGGAGGGAGTAGTAACTAGCAGGAGTAAGGCTCTTACAACAGGATATAGGAATGGTAGGGCTTGCTCAGTGGGTGGTTGCTGAGGAAGACAGGTGAGAAAGGTACACCTGAGATTAACCAGCAGCCCTATAAACTTGATTGGCATTCTTTGTCTATTTGTGAGGTCTCCAAATACAGTGTTGGAGCAAAGATATTTTTGACTCTGAAAAGTTCAAATCCTAGTAAATGGACGAAGTGTCATTAGTCCTTTAATGTAGAAGAAGCAATCCACGTTCACCTGGGCTTGTAACCCTAGCAAAGGTTTGGCGCCACTAGACCGGTCCATCGGCTGATCAGTGTGGGTAAAATGAATGGTATGCCTCTCTGCTTACCTCCTCCTACCCTAATCTTTCATGGCCTAGCCCAGTTCCTGCTCCCCCATGATGGCTTCCTTTTCAAAGATGGAAGGAGCACTTGGTTTTCTTCGGTTTTGTCTCAGTCCATAGGACAATGGAAAATAAAAATGTAATGCATCATTCATTTTAGCCATACTTTGTTAAGTCTTCTGGATGTCTTGCCTTCCAAGCAAATTGCAGGTGGTATCCTAGTGCTAAGGAGTTGTCCTCCCAACCTGAAGGCACACAGTTCAAATCCATCATCAGCTACTCTGTAGGAGAAAGATGAACAATGTCCTCCCATGTGATTTACTGCCTCTGACAACCCACTGAAAGGTCAGCTCTTGATTGGTTCTGCACATAACAACAGTAACAATGGGGACTATAGTCTTTCTTCTACAGCAAACATTTCAAGTCACTATAAGTTGTCATGATTCAAGGGCACCTAACAACAATAACTACAAGGGACCACCATATTATTTTCTTATGAGATACAATAGTCATAGGATGGTATGAAGAATGTTATTAGTTCCTCTAAATTCTCATAGAATTCTCTATTTTTGTGTTTAGGATTGTGAAGAGATTAATGAAGAGCAAGAGCACTTTAAATCTGTGGGGAGAAAGCTTTTAGTGAAAAACGTCTCAGAAGAAGATGAAGGGAAATATGCATGTCAAGTAAGACTGACACACGCGGGGAAAGAATACACAGTTTTAAATAGCATTAGTGTAGATGTCAGTAAGTATACTCACCTGTGACCTTGACCTCCTCTTGGCTTCGCACGGGCTTGCTAGTCTTTGGCAGAGGTGGTTCTGCACCTTTCTTTTTCTGAAGATTATTTTCTTTCTTTCTCATTCCTGCCAATCCATTGGGTTTCTGAGGCTGTAAATCACACAGGCAGAGATTATCCGTCTTTCTCCCTTGTAGATGCTGGAGAATTCAAGTTACCAGAGTCCTCTGAGGCTTTAGGTTGGCAGCAGAACACTTACATCTCTAAACAGTCATTATTAAGATTGGAGAAAGATTACAATCAAAGGACATGGGCAGTATAGTTTTCTCATATTAGAAGACAGCATATGAAAAATTTTTGGTTCCTATGTGAAAACAAAGTGAGGTCATGTTTGTAACAAAGCTACCATGGTGCTAGGGAAACCATAAGTGCTCAATGAATGTTTTGCTCAGTTATTACTGTTATGAATGTTCTGGTGGTCCATTCTATTTAGAGTCTCAGCAGAGTTCAAGGTCTTGAACTTGACCACAAGACATCTGAATATTCCTAGAATTTCAGTGATAAACCTGGATTGACCAATTGTCTTGAAGATTTATAAACAAAATCTTAGGGGATCAAAGAAACCTTAAAACTAATTTCAATTGAACCATTAATTATATAAAGGCCTAGAAGAAACTTATTCAAGCTGACAAAGTTAGTTAATGACAAAAAACAGGATGAGAGTTCAGATCTTCCATGTCTTGCAAATAATTTCTCCTCTGAATATATAGGGTAAGGAGTTCCAGCTAGGCCACATCTTTCGTGCTTTCTTCAGCACAGTGCTATATGTTTAAGTTATTGGAGGCCAGGGTAGGGAACTTGAATCTTCTATTGGCTCCACAGGAGAAAGAACTGGTGATCTGCTACTTAAGGAGTAACTCTATTCTACAATTCTACAACGCGGTAATGAGTCGAACCGAATCTGACAGCACACAACAACAAACTAAATGGAGAGGATGGAAGGTTTGATTATAGTTTTGGTTTTGGTTCCCCCACCCCAGGCCCTTTTGGACTTATATTTTGTTTTCTTTTTTTGCTGTTTTGGTTTTGAAATGCTTTTATTATTTGTAAAACTTCAGAGTACTAGAAATGTTCAGCTCAATGATGAGACTTCTTTGGGTGATAAGTTCCTCTTCTATTCCTGGAGAGGCTTCTGGGAGTCATTTATTTACTTACAATCCAGTTTTGTGTTGTTATGTGTCATTAAGTTCAGTATGACTCATAGTGACTCTATAAGCAACTTGTAGACAACAGATGTGAACTCTACCTTTTAATGTGCCATTCTCCTCATCTTTGCTATATTTGAGCCCATTATTCCAGTCACTGTATCAGTCCATCTTTCCAAGCAGGATGTCCTTTTTCAAAGGCTGGCCCCTTCTAACCACATACTCAGAGTACTGAGATAAAGCTTCATCATCCTTGCCTTCAAGGAGCACCATAGTTGTACAGTCAGTCTCCAAGACAAATTTGTTTATTCTTCTAGCAGTCAATAGGATGTTGAGTACTCTTTTCCAACACCACAACTCAAAAACATCAATTCTACATCATCATTTTTAGTTATTGCCCAACTTTCAGATGCATAAAAGATAATTGAAAAAGACCATGACTTGAATCAAGTTAATCTTAGTCTTTAAACTGATATTTTTGATCTTTAGCACTTTGGAGAGGTTCTTGACAGCAGATTTCCCCAGTGTGATAAATCCTTTGATTACCTGACTGCTGTACCAAGAGTATTTATTGTGGATCCAAGTAAGATGAACTCACGAACAGTAACTATACACATGATCTCACAGGATGGATTACATAGAAATCAGATTGACTACACCTGTAGAAAGTATTGCTGGAGAAGTTCAATATCAGCAGTCAAAATCAGGCCAGTGCTGACTGTGGAGCAAACAGATCATCAACTACTCATCTGCAAGTTCCAAATGAAGCTGACGAAAATGAAAACAAGTCCATGAGAAGCAAAATATAACCTTAAATCTGTCCTACTTGAATTTAAAAACCATCTCAAGAATAAGTTTGAGGCATTGGACCTAACGATTGAAGGCCAGATGAGTTGTGGGGTAACAAGATTATCATCCATGTTGTTGTTATGTACCATTGAGTTGGAACCAACCCATAGCTGACGCTCCAGCAACACGTAATCACAAGGAAGATTACCCATCTTTCTCCCACAGAGCAGCTGGTGGACTCGAAACACATGCCTTCGGGATTACAGCACAGCTTCTTGCCTCTAGGTCACCTGAGATCCCTGGGTCTAAAGGAGACATTTTATGTTGGGTCTAAATCCAATGTTTTTAGTGCTTCAGTATGCTGTTAGGAATGGTGAGAGCTGAGGCTAAAAAATTAAACAGGGTCTTGGTCAAGGGATTGGACATAAATGTGTAGACTTTACCAGGGAGCTGCTGAAGAGCTCTTGTGGATACAAGGACAGAGTGATGTGGCTATATTTGTGATGTGTTATATCACCAAGAGATAGGATGATGGAGGAGTTGATGGGGATCTTGAGACATATATGTGTAGGAAGCTGCCACAGTACCCACAGGACAAAAGAATGTCTGAATTGGGTGGAGGTGGTGGGGGATTTCCTCCTGCACGGAGTCATTTACTGACTATTTACCAAAGGCCTGGTAAGAGTAGGTCCCACGCAAAGTCAAGGGAGTATGATGCTGTCTGTCTGCTCATTATGGAGCATAAAATCTGAAGAGGGAGGAGATAAAAAGATTGAACAGATAACCCACTAAGGAAATAATATAATTACAAAGGAGATTAACACACTAAAGGAAAGAAAAAAATTAGATCAACCAGATAAAGATCTGTTGAGAAGATAATAAATCAGGAAAAACTCCCTGATAATAGTGAAAAGTAAGGAATTATTTGCTAAATGGTAGAATAGATGACGTTTCTCCAGACTGAGGGAAAAGTAAAAGTGAAGATCCTGTAGCAAGAAGGACTGAGGTATCTCAAGACCAGGAAGCAGGTGGTTTGTGTTGGAGTAAATGGCTGAGGGAGAACATGGTAAGTGGTGAGTTTAAGTATTCAGAGATTAAAACCAAGTTAAAACAAAACAGTTATTGCCAAGTCGATCTGATTTATGATGACACCATGTATGTCAAAGCAGAACTGTGCTCCATAGGTTTTTCAGTGACTGTTCAGAACTAAATTCCCAGAGCTTTCTCCCAATGCATATTTGTGTGCACATGAAACTTCAGCTTTTCATTTAACAGCTAAAGGTGCTCACTGTATCACTCACGGAGTCCTAAAATCAAGAAAGGGTTTGTAATCCAAATTGAGAAGTTGAGAATGTATCCTAAGAGAAAAAGGAAGTGTGCACAGCGGTTGGGAACAGGAGAGCAGTATGATGTGATTTACATTTCAGAGGAATTATCTCATTGTGCACAGAATGCTCAGTACAGAGGCAAGACGTGAGTGCAGTGAGGCAAGGGAGGTATACTGGTACAGATAACATGATGACACTGAAGATAGGGAGATGTGGATCAATTAAAAGCATTTTAAGAAGTATAATGCATAATTGAATGTGGTAGGTGACATGGAAGATAGGCCTTTGGCTTATACAACCCACTGAATTAGGATTCTATTCAATGAAATAAGATAGTTGGAATAAAATGGGATTTAGGAGTGAAGCAATGGATAGGTTAAGTGTGAAGTGCTTATAAGAAGATGCAGATAGGTAACATCCTTTATGGGCCTATAATTTTACAAGTCATCAGACTTTGGGCAGTAAATGAAAGAGTATATAGGAGATTGTGTAGGAAAAGAGTACAAGGTGGAAATATAAGGTGGGGAACAGTTCCTTAGGAGCTCTGGTGGCCCAGTGGTAAGGAGTTGCACTGGCAATCCAAAGGTACATATTTCAAATCCATTAGCTGCTCTGCAAGAGAAACATGGTAATATCCTCTTGTGCAATTAACTGCCTCTGAGAATCTGCTAGAGATTAAGTTATGGGTAGGTTCTGACTTGATAGTAACCCACAATAACTATAATAGAATGATTTGTAGATATTCTATTTATGGGATCTAGTGGATGAGGAGACTATAATGTTTCAGAGCAATTGACCCTGAAAATTAGAAGCGTGAATTACTCATCACTAAGGCATATTTCATAGACCCCTATTACCATGTGGATGTAATTTTCTGTGGTAAGACAATCCCTAATGATCTTAGATTTGTTGTCATTTATTTAAAAAATCTCTTTCAGATGGTAAGGTTTCCAAAAGATTAGATTTCATTATGGACCATACAAGCAAGATATAATGGAAAAAAATACATTAGCGATGTTAGATAATAAAACTGACAGCAATAAGACAATGATTAAACTCAGTGACAATAAAAACCTTTGGACAATATTCCTCCAAACAATAAATTGTGAATTGGCTGCTAGTGAGACAATATTACCCAAGTTTGGTAAAGATCACATAATTTTTTAAGATACGTTGTTGTTGGGTGCCATCAAGTCAAGTACAACTTACAGTGACCTTATGAACAATGGATCTGAACTTCGTCTTAGCCATCTTCTCACTGCCTTATACACTAGGGCCAATTGCTGCAGTCACCATGTCAGTCCACCTGGTTGGAGGTTTTCCCCTCCTTCGCCATCCCTCTACCTTTCCCAGCATCATGTCCCTCCCCAAGGAACAGCCCCTCCTAGCAACATGTCCAAAGTATGAGATGAAGCCTTATCATCCTTGCCTCCAAAGAGCACTCTGGCTGCACCCTCTCCAGGGCATATTTATTTGTTCTTTTGTCAGTCCATGGGATGTCCAGTGCTCTTCTCCAAGACCACAATGCAAAGGCATCAATTCTTCTTCTGTCATCCCTATTTATTGTCCAGCTCTCAGATGCATAGCTAGTGTTCAGAGAGACCATAGCCTGAATCTATTGTCTGGAGTTTCTTCTCTGAAGCAGTTGCATTAGATATATGACTCCAAAATGCAGCAGTTGAATTACTGTGGACATACCTACACACCAGTATCTTGTAAAATATGTGACTTGCTCTCACTTAGTATAATAGAGCAAGATTTAGCCAAGATGCTAGTCTTATCCTCTATGAGAAAGCTAAGCCTTATTTGATGTCACACTATGACATATCCCTTGAGAATGTTTTTGGTAGATTAATTAATGGTGACATTATATTATTTCAGAAGGATAGGCTTGAAAGTTGCAACAGTAAACATACCAATGATTATTTCCAAAACTCACTGCTTTGAGTTGGCTCTGACTCACAGCAACCCTTCATAGAGTTTCCAAAGTTATAAACTTTTACTGGAGATTTCCTTATGTTTTCTACCTTGAAGCAGTTCATAGCTTTGAAATATCCACTTGTTTTTAGTTAGGAGCCTAACATGGAACGCATTACATTCATTTAAAGAATAAGATACATCTGATCCAAGCCACAGTATTTTCAATGACTTCATATGCATGTAAAAGTTGGACAATGAGTAAAGAAGACCTGTGAAGAATTGATGCTTTGAAATGTTATCTTATGTTGGATTTTTACTATATCATAGACTAATGCGAAACCTATATTTGGACCAGGAGGCAGTCGTCAGAACAGAGCAAGGGAACACTGCATGGTTCAAAATTGGGAAGGGCGTACGCCAGGGATGCATCCTATCTCCATACCTTTTCAACCTATATGCAGAACAGATTATCTGGGAGGCTGGGCTCTATGAGGAGAAATGTGGGGTCAAGATTGGTGGATGATTTATCAACAATCTGTGTTATGCAGATGACACAACCCTGCTTGCTGAAACTGAAGAGGACCTGAAGCACCTGCTGCAAGAGGGTCAAGGACTGCAGCCTACAATATGGATTGAGGCTCAATGTCAAGAAGCCAAAGATTCTCACCACTGGACCAATTGGTAGCATCAGGATGGATGGTGAAGAGATTGAGATTGTACACAGCTTTAGTTTGCTTGGCTCCACAGTCAACACTCTTGGCACCAGTGGCCAGGAAATTAAAAGGCATATTGCCATGGGAAAGTCTGCTGTTAGGGACCTCTCCAGGGTACTGAAGAGCAATGGTGTCTCTCTGGAGACTAAGGTGCGACTAAGGTGCGTTTGATAAAGGCCATGGTCTTCGCAATCACTTGTTATGCATCAGAGAGTTGGACAATGACCAAAGAGAATAGAAGGAGAATTGATGCCTTTGAGCTGTGGTGCTGGAGAAGAGTATTGAGAATACCATGGACTGCTAGGAAAACAAACAGATTTGTCCTGGAAAGGGTTAAACCGGGTGGCTCCTTGGAGGCAAGGATTCTGAGGCTCTGTCTAACATACTTTGGACATGTTGTGAGGAGAGATCGGTCCTTGGAGAGGGACATCATGCTTGGGAGGGTGGAGGGACAGTGTAGGAGGGGAAGGCCCTCTATGAGGTGGATTGATTCAGTGACTGGGATAATCAGGATGGGAGTGTCAGAGACAGTGCGATTGGCACAGGACAGAGCAGATTTTAGGGCTGTTGTACATAGGGTCGCTATGAGTCGCAAGCGACTCGACGGCACATAACAACAACAACAACAACAACAACAACATTGACTTCCAGAAGAATGTTCAAACTTGACTTTGAGGAAATGCAGCCTGAGTGCTCTTTAGAAGCAAAAGTGATGAGATATCATCTCACATACTTTGGCCATACTGTGCAGAGATGCCAGTCTCTAGAGAAAGACTTCATGCCTTGGAGAAGTAGAGATCGAGGGAAAGAGAAAAAAACTCTTTATGAGATGGATTGAAACAGTGACTGCAATGTTGCACTTGAGCACAGCAGAGATTGTAAGGATGGTATAGAGTTGTTAGGGTTTCCTCCTTTGAATACAAGGTTTCTTAGAGTCAGAGTGGATTCACAGTAGCATCTAACAACTAAACAGCCAAACAAATAAACCACGTCATCACTGTTGATTGGAATTGACTCATGGAGAAAGGCTGAGGGGTGAGGAAATGTCATTGACATTAAACTGGTTGTTTTTGTTCATGTTCATTGTTTCTTTTGCAACTATATCACATAGGAGGGGTTTGCCCATCTTTCTCTCATGGAGCCATTGGTAGATTCAAATTGTCTTTGGGTTGATAGTATAACTCCTTCACCTGTTAAGCTATCAGAGCTTCATTTTTTAAAGTGGTAGTAGTTGTTATGTGCTATAAAGTCAGGTCTTAATCGCAGTTGAATCTCTAACAGAATTGTAGAATGTGACTCATATTATTTTTATTTTTCAATTGGTAGCACAGCTCTGTTGTAGCACAACTCTTGACTCAAGAGGCTATCGGAGCAGCCTTATAAAGTGGCAATTGAACAAAATAATTGAGGCATATTGTGTGGATCACAACAAGCTGTGGCTGACTCTGAGAAGAATGGGAGTCCCATAACACTTGATTGTACTTATGTGAAACCTATACTTGGACTGGGAGGCAGTCATCAGAACAGAGCAAGGAAACAGTGCATGGTTCAAAATTGGAAAGAGTGTGCTCCAGGGATATGTCTTATCTCCATACATACCTTTTCAATCTATATGCACGACAGATTATCCAGGAGGCTGGGCTCTATGAGGAGAAATGTGGCATCAGACTTGGAGGAAGACTCATCAACAACCTGTGTTATGCAGATGATACAACCCTGCTTGCTAAAACTGAGGAGGACCTGAAGTGCTTGCTGCAGAAGGCCAAGGACTACATACAGCCTTCAGCATGGACTGAAGCTCAACATAAGAAAAAACAAAGATTCTCACCACTGGGACAATTGGCAGCATTATGACAGATGGTGAAGAGATCGAGGTTGTTAACAGCTTTTGTTTGCTTGGGTACCAGAAGCCAGGAAATGAAAAGATGAATTGCATTGTGAAAGTCTGCTACCAGAGACCTCTCTAAAGTACTGAAGAGCAACACTGTCAGTCTGGAGACTAAGATGTGCCTGATCTAGGCCATAGTCTTTGCAATTACTTGCTATGCATTAGAAAGCTGTACAATGACTAGGAATGATAGGAGAACTGATGCCTTTGAGCTGGGGTGCTGGAGAAGATTATTGAATATACCATGGGCTGCTAGGAGAACAAACAAATTCATCCTAGAGAGCGTGAGACCAGGCTGCTTCTTTGAGGCAAGGATTCTGAAGCTTTGTCTGACATACTTCGGACATGTTGCAAGGCAGGATCAGTCCTTGGAAAGGAATATTAGGCTTGGGAGAGTGGAGGGACAGTGTAAGAGAGGAAAACCCTTGATTAGATGCATTGATTCAGTGACTGGGGTAATGGGGGTAGTTGTGTCTGAGACAATAAGATTGGCACAGGATAGAGGAGGGTTTAGGGCTATTGCATGTAAGGTTGCTATGAGTCACAGGGAACTTGATAGCACATAACAACAACAACGATTGTGTAAAAAAATAAATATAATTTATAAACCTTCACTCAAATAAAAAAATACTAAAAAAATTTATTTACTATAAAAACATCCCCAAATACACATTTATGTAATGAGATTTTTGTCACATACACAACACAAGTCTTAGTTTTTCTCAGCCAATATCTATTGCAGATCTGCTTTATGCTATGCTTTCCTTATTTTATTATATTGAAATAGTAGAGAATCTGTCACACATGATTCTAATGCACTTTTCTGTGGATATGATTTTTTAACAGAAAAAGTTTTGTATGGAGACAGAATCCCTAAAATTACTTACCCAAGAAACAATTCAATTGAAGTAAAACTTGGTAAGTACATGCCATGATGAAAACACTAAGGGCAGAGATCTATATGTCAACATACCTTAGTGTCTTTTTTGAACTTTGAGAATGAAGAGACATACACACCAATCTTTGTTTCAGTTTTTGTATATCGAAGATCATTTTTTTTAAATTAAAAAAAATAATCCAAAAAACCAGGAGACTGGAAGGAAGTCTGTGGGAAGTCATGGGAGCAGAGGCCTGGTAGTGAACACTCTGGATCTACGTGGCTACTAGAAAAGTCTGTCCCTGTAAAAGCAATGCAAATGTTAAAAAAGGTTCTTGACAGAGAAGATGTATCATATAAAACTACAACTCACTGAAATTGATTGAGGATTCTAGAGTATAAAATTTAACATTGGAAAATATGCAGAAGGAGTAAGGGAAGTTATCATGTTATGTTTCATTTACATAGGGAGGATGATATATGTATTACCTATGGATTTCCAAAGGAACAAACAAATATGTCTTAGAGAAGGTGTAGCCAGAGTACTCCTTGGAGGCAAGGATGGTGAAATTTCATCTCACACACTTTGGGCATGTTACTAGGAAAGGGTTTTCCTTGGAGAAGGACGTCATGTTTAGAAAGGTACAGGGGTGGTGATAGAGGAAGACCCTCAACAAAGTGTATTGATACAGTGATTACAGCAATGGCCTTGAGTGTGTGAGAGATTGTGCAGGTGGCAAAGCATGAGACAGTGTTCAAATCTGTTGTTTTTTTTT